CTGCTAACTGCGCAGTAAGCAGCGACTGCGCTTGGGCTGCGCTGCAGTGTGGGCAGTTTTATGAGAATTTATTTCTTGAATAACTTAATTTCTAGACGTACAATCTTAATGAAACTTTTTGAACGTAATAATAATGTTCTAATGTATGCACATTCTAAAGCACAAGTCTCTAGTATTTGAAATGTGTTTTTTTTTTAATTTGGAGCAAAGGGGACGTGGTATCAAAAATCTGTAAATTACAAAATGTTTGTATGTCTCCAGGTCTAAAAGTGTTCAAATGAGGCCGAAAAAACAAAATCAATTTTTCGATTATTCTCGATAAAAAAGCTATCGGATGATTATCGAAAAAATAAAGCAAACTCGTACTGCGTATGGTACACACGAGTATGCATGCCAAATTTCAGCTCTCTAGCTTTTGTATATTCTGAGTTCGACGCACTCATACAGACGGACGGACGGACGGACGGACAGACGGACAGGGCTATATCGACTCAGCTCTTCGTCCTGATCAAGAATATATGTGATGATTCCTTCTGCTTGTTACATACTTTTAGACAAAACCATCATACCCTGATTTCCCATTTTCAATGGGTTCAGGGTATAAAAATAAATCGTAGCACACGTTATGATAATAAATAAATAATTTATTTTATGCATATTTATACGGAATATATATTTATATATATTATCGTACGGTTACGTGCATATCTTTATCAAACTATTTGCTATTATCAATTCGCAAATTATTTTGGAAACAATTGATGGATATACTGTATAAGTTACTGTCACATTATATTAATTATTTTATATTATGGCTATACTTTCTCTAGTGACTTAATGCATGGACTTTTCTTCCACATCGGCAGCTACAATAGGCACTATTTCGTTATCCTTTGTGTTCTTGTTATTTGTGTCGGGCAAAATGCGTAATTCGGCACTTTCATGCGTGTCATGATGCTCATTTGTGTGCTGATTGTTATCTCCTATATCGCGTGTCGTTTCATTCACTTGGTATCGGTCGTCAGAACGACTTTGTGCATTATGGCTCTGTGGCACAGACGACGATGATTGGGGCTGTTCTATTGCAGTCAGTATTGATTGAAGTAGACCTTGCGACAGAATCTCTTCATGGGTTACATTTGGATTATCAATATTATCATCATTTCCTTGATTAGTACCAGCATTATCTACTGAACCATCAAATTGTACTTGAAAGTTTTGAATTGGCTGTCCATTACTTGCGCCAAATTTAATGCCTTGAGACTTTTGTGTAGATATCACATTCAAGTCATTTAAACCTGGTAGCTTCTGCAGATCTGTACCATCCGGCAGTGCTGCGATTACCGACTTTTGTGACTCATAGCCGAAATGATCAAGCTCAATTTCATTTCCCGAAGACGGTGGCCCATAACTGTCAGCAATACCACCTAAAAATTGTGTATGATGTTCCGCTACAGGAACACTCTGCGCTATAGCATTGTATAGGCTAGGAGATTTTGCCGAGACGCTACCGAATTGTTGCTGCTGCTGCACTTTATACCCAGAGCTGCTGATCAAATTGGGGCCTTGGCCGCAATCGTGTAACACAATTTGTGCCTGATGGTGCTGGTTAGGATGCCGTCCCACTGATACAGACGTTTGTTGCTTAAATCGTTCAATTTGCTGGATTAATGGAAGCGCCTGAGAATATAAAAGTGATGGCATATTCAGGGGAATCACATTATTGCTTATTTGTTGCTGACTCGGTGGATGTATATTTGTGGAGGGTCTATCTGAAAAATATTGCTCCGGTGCCCGCTGTTGCTGCGGTGCAGGAGTAAATTGAAGACGTGGTAGTGATTCTACACCAAATGGAGCAAAACTGGGCCCTTGATGCGATTGCGGGAGCTGCTGTTGTAAAATAATCTGCGATGATGCTAGCCTATTAAAGGGCACGCCGTATGTGGATAGTGATGCAGAAACCGCATTACTTAATGGAATTTCGTGAGTTGCTGGTGGAATATAAGTAGGCGTTTGCTGCTGCGGCTTTACACCAAATTCATCCAAATGCTGCACAGTAGCCCCTATAGACTCTATGAGTCCTGTCGGCACAGGTGGGCGGAATGCGACTGGTGACTTAGAAAGTCCGGGATCAAATTTTGGATTACCTGAGTGTGCACCATACAGGATATTTGAATTGTAATGTGGATGCGACTGGGCTTGAGACTGAGGGAACGCATCAGCAGGAACGCCATACTTAGGACCAAATATCTGTGATGGTGCCAGACCTTCCGCAGCAACAGTTTTATATTTTGTATCATGTATAGAGCCAGGCTGATATGAATCTGGTGGGGGCTTGGAGTAAGTATCATCATTTGCGCCGGCGGAAACCTAATGATAAAATAATAGAGAAGTATGTCAGTATGATGTTACCTGAAACGACGACTATCTTAATACCCACCTGTAACGCTTCAGAGTCAACGGTGCTCAAGTTACCGTCGCTACTAAGATCCGTTACTGTATTACTAGACTCACTCTGAAGTGCGACTGCTACAAGTTGCTCGTCAGAAAGGCCGTTGACAGTTTTGTCACTGTTGACACTACCCAAATTATATTGGGAGCCAATTATGTGGCGCTGATCGACATGACTATAACCACCTTCAGTTTCAATGTGATTTTTTTCAATGTAGGTCCCAATCGGTGATGGAATAGGTTTCCAGCCATCGCATGCAGTGTGAAAAGGTGTTTGTGAGCCAGTCACACTGTGTGTGTGTCCAGAGGCATCTATTTGGATCTGAACTTGCCTAAAAGGGCTATCAACTGGGCCACTAGGGAATTGCTGTACACCTAAAATATTTAATATTATATTCGTTTCTGGAGTACGGTTGAAATCTGTTGATTGAGGACCTGGTACGTTAATGGGAAGTGGTGGTGGTCCGTAGTTTGATGGTGTTTCGTAAGCTTGCTGAGCAGGGAGGTTTGATGGTCCCGAGGCGGGGGGGCCATAAGAAGTTGCTGGGTGATGAACCGGCTTAAACAGTTGGGCAGGATGTGGTACGGGCAAAAGCTGTGGTGATACAGGCCTTGTGAAAAATTTTTGTTTTAAAGGTGGTGCGTACTGTGGTGCCTGGCGATGTTGAATTTTCAATTGCGGTGGAAGTGATTTTGGTGGTGGACCGTAATGTGGTGCTGGTTGCGATGTACCATATTCTGTTGTGGGTCCATACTGTGCATGCGGTGGTCCATAGAATGGTTTGGGAACGCCAAAGTGTGTCTTGATTTGCTCATGCAATCCATTCGAAGATAGCCCAGAATCACCACCAAAATTGTTCAGTTTTGGAGGGCCATATTTTAATGCCGGCAAGCTGTAATCTCTAAAGGGAATCTGCTGGGGTACACCATACTCACGATGTGGTATTGGCTGGGGTGTATGATTGAAATGTGATGTTGGCCTTGGTGGTGGGCCATATAGGTCGAAGCCCGTTTCACGTCGCTTGAAGTCGTTTCCGTTTAGCACAGCCCTGACAACACAAAAACAGAAAGACGTCAGTAAAGCTAACCGCAACAGCATCTGAAACGATAAGATGTAAGAATTAGGAGCGTAAAACACACGATAGTTAAATTCATAAAATCTTTAAGTCGATTTAACTGAGGCGGAAATATATATTATTTTCAAGATACAAGTAGGTAACAGTCAGTCAATGAACTCTTATCGCTCATTAGACAAGATACTCGGCTTTTTATCCCCTACCTCCACTCCACCCATCTCCACTCCCTCACCCTTAAATCTGTAATATGTAAAATTTCAAATAGTAGAGACTTGTGCTGTAGGAAATGCATACTTATCTATATTATAACCATAATATAAAGTTTCATGAAGATAGTCCACCAACAAGAAAAGTCTTTAAGTAATTAAGTTCCCATAACAAGCCAACACTGCAGCCAATGCGTGTTATTCGTACTTGCGTATGCCTGTATGTATGCGTGTGTGTGCGTGCATGTGCGAACAATTATTAAAATATCATTTGCTCAAAGGGTTCAGGGGGTCTCGTAGTCGAGCAGTCTCAACTTTCAGAGCATTCTTATTTATTCTTTATACTGTCTGTCTAGCTGAGATATCATATTGTACATAGAATTTAATTTGATGTTTCGTCACTAAATAACAGTTATTTGTCTAAACTACTTCTTAAATATTCAACAGATTCTTCCCATGAGGTTTCAATTACGTATTCATTCAAATATACACAGAAATGTCTATCGGTAAGAAAAGTTTTAGTTGATTTAGATCATGTAAGATTTTAGATCAGGCCATCATACTAAACAGTGCTAAAAGCTGCTTCGACATCCATGGTTACCAAGCCAAAGTCAAACTTGGCTTATACAAAGTTTGTCAATTTGTCCAAAAGAAAGATGCAGCAATTGAGCTCTTTTAATCCATATTGTATTGATTGTGAAAGCTTCTAAGTGAAAGTTTATAGAATACATAGACCGGACACATAGTGTAAACACTTTTTTTGAACACTTTTTTTCGAGAATTGCGATCCCAGACAACTTCGTATTTGCTCTGCTTCTCACTTTTAGGTTCGGTCTACGAAAATATACGAAAGAACAATCATTTCGCTTCATGCGCTCGACCAAGAACAATAGATGCCTCTATGCTCAATTTTTCTCTTGCTCTCCCATTGTTCTCTCCTCTTTCAAATATGTATATGTATGTATGCATGTGAGCACAAGCAACAGGGCACAAAAATTGAAATTGCTTCGCATCATGAACCCGACTTTTCCCTTCTAAGTGAAGAGTATCCTGAACTTTTTGAACCGTTTGTCACGCTTATGTGAAATGTTTACGTTTTCGTTATAATTTGTGGGAAGGGTAAGAAAACGTTGTTGCGTATAAATACAATGTGTTCACGACAAGCATGGACACACACACAGTCCCTTGCTACATGTTTGCGAAGGAACGAATTTCAAGTCTCTAGCTTATACATATCTTCTAAGATCGGCGCGCTCTTATATATGTTGACGGACGGGTAGACAGATGGACAGGGCCAAATCGACTCAACCATTCCTCGCTCTGCCTGTTACATACTTTTAACAAAACCATCATATAAAAATGGATTCACGGTAAAAAAGCTTAAAAACGAAATCAACTTATCGATTTTTGTCGATAAAAAAAAGGAATGAGTTATCGAAAAAATATGACAGACTCGTAGTAGCAAAGTTTTGCTCTTATACTACAGAAAACTCCCGATTTTTCACGCCCTTACTAAGCGTAAACACTTCATTTTGTTCCAGTTTATAGAACAAGCTAACGGTAACCTAAATGTAAAAAAGATACAGGGTATTTTTTGATGTGCCACGGCCCCCAAAGAGGCGTAACAATATTATTTGGGGTAACAATAGAGGAAGTTACTAGTAACTTAATTATCCAAAGTTGAAGCTTCTAGCTCTTATACTTTAGGAGATATAAACTGTGGGCGGACTTATATCTGTCGTAGCTTTTTGGTCTTGGGTGGTCAGTCCGAGTATATATATAAAATTTGAGGTCTCTAGCATCAATAGTGTCCAAAATATATCAGATAAATCACTATATCTTCAGGTCCGAAATTTTAACACTTTATAAATCGGAGATAAACACGAGTATGTATTCCAAATTTCGGGTCTCAAGCTTCAATAGCGCCGAAGATATTGCGTTCTTACGGACAGACAGACAGTCGGACAGTTAACAACTTTCTCTTCTCGTTAGCAAAAGTAAACTGGTAGGAAATAAGTCGACGTCTCTCAAATGTGAGAATGAGTATGTCGATCAAGTAACGTAATCATACATACAATGTATGTATGGGAGAGTTATTGTTTAATAAGTTTTCTTGTGGATGGACAAGTCTCTAGTGCTTGAAGTCTCTAGTGTTTGTTTGGGGGGTAAATTGAACAAAAAATTTGGAGTTTCTAGCCTTAAAGATGTAGGAGATATAATTTTATAACAGATTTTCGATAAAGGTTTTATCGATAATAAATTAACGTTATGGGGTTTCGATTTGTAGTGATAAACTCGACATGCGTGCTATATATACGGACATTTAAAAAAATATTAAGTCTCTAGGTCTTATATCTTCTGAGATCGACGCGTTCAAAAATATGGACAGTGCCAAACGACTCAGTTCGTTGCCCTGATCAAGAATATATATACTTTGTGGGGTCTGCCACGCCTACTTCTGCCTGTTACACACATTTTATCAAAACCATTCTACCTTGATTTCCCATTTTCAATGGGTTATAACAAGGCTCTAGTTGAGACTGCTCGACTAGGAGATACCCTGAACCCTCCAAGCTGATATTCTAATCATT